TGGAAGTAGTACAGGGCTGCATATTTGTATTATGCTCTTTAAAGGCACAATAAATAGCTGTTTTGTGAGCCTGCACAGCTCAGGAGGTTAATAAACAGGCTTTTACTTCCAGGTTTTTAGAGTGAAGTCATACCATGTCAGGAGAAGACCTTTATTAGATGACATGAGAGAAGCAAAGCTGATCCTTGCGAAAGCTTTCTTAGTTTCTAATCACCTGGAATATCTGTATCCCTTAGGGCAGTAGGTGGTGAGGATGGTGTGGTGTCCAGATGTGTCCTTCACTACAAACAAGAATTTAAGTGTAGGGATTTCAAAAGCACTGAATGTCCAAATGGCATCTTTCATTTTCCAACAGCATTCCTTCATTCATTATTATAGGCAGCAAAGTTACCTTCCCATGCATGATCAGTGGCCTATGCTAAATGAAACTGCTAAATGAACTGGCTTTCCTCAAACTCAATCCCAACAGGCAGGTGACCACCTTACAAAATCTTCCATGTATGTGGTACCACCTGAGCTGTTACCAACAGGCTCAGCAGCAGGACCTTGGGTAGCAGGTGAGGAGCCGTATGTGCATTTGCACCCTTAGAAACAGTCCTTCCTGCCGATGGCTGGTGGGGTAGCAGGGTGAGTGGTGCATGTCTTGGAGCCCCTGCTCTATGGGTTCCTGTACTGTCTCCAGACTTTGAAGAAGAATAAGAAGAAATACACAGAGAATGATGGTTCATCAGTTTGACAAAGTGGACTTGTATGCTTATTTGAGGAAACAGTATTATTTGGTATATTGTTCACGTAACACCAAAACATTCAAACTTGATGAAGGTTAGCCATATATTGCAGCTGTCACAGAACAGAAGTGCAGAAGACTATCTTTTGACAGCAAAATCATCTCTGACTAATCTTGCTATGCACAAATACGAGAAAACAACATAAGATCAATATATCAGTCAAGGACAAGGGCTTTGCTGCTGTTAGTGTAATGTGTAGCAGGCAGTAAATGCCTGGATCGTTGTCCAAGTCATGTTTGGAGCCTCGTGCCTCTGACTTGAGTGATCTCATTGACAAAGACAAGAAATACGTTGAGAGCTAAAGGGATTGACGCTGTTTAAGGAACATTCAAAAATGACTTGGTGGGTTTGCCAGTTCCCTTAACTTCATGTATCCCATCAGTCTTCTGTGAGCAAGAGGCAAGGCCTGGGAAGCCAGAGTTAAAGTACAGGACATGTTTGACTGGCTTTCTATGCACAACAGAAACTGGAAAGGAGAAGTGACACCTTGTATAAGCCAAGAGTCTTTCTACGTCTGAAGGTCTAGTGTGTCTTTCAGAGTCAGCTTTGTGTCAGTAGTGAAGAGTACATCATGTTATTTCATACTTCACTTTGAATGATACCCTGAAATAATAAACTATGGAAAAAGTGCTGCTATGGATTCTGCCTTTTGGCTATAGAAGTGGTCATTGTTATTTATCTGATTTCTGTGAACTTCAGCTTTATTTCTGTTGCTTAGTGAAGACTGTCAGGAAATTCTTTCTTTAAAGAAGTGAGATTCCACTCCTCTTACACCTCTTATGTATACATCAGATTCATCATCATCCAGACAGGCCATTTAGGTGTCTCATGACTGAGAACACATACTTCTTCACTCCAGGAAAAGTGAGATGGATAGATGGGTTAATCATAACTCCCCAAACGGAGATCTTGTGCAGCATGGCATTTAGCAGCTGTGACTGCAAGTTTTGTGTTCTTTCTCTACAAACCCCAGCTGGCTGCCGAGTAAACATCCTTCAGTAAAGCATGCGTCCTCCTCACCATACAACAGTGATACTGCTCAGAGCAGAGGTAGCCTTTAGAGATTCCCAAGAATGAGAGAAATGTTTACTGTATGCTGGTCTGTTCTTCCCTGGATATTGGACTAGATTTACTCATTCAGGAGAAGGTAGAAAGACAAAACACAATTAAATAGCTTCAGCACAGATATTGCTCAGGTCAGAAAGGAAGCAAATGTGAAATATTTTATGACTTTTTATTAACACTAACAGCATAAAGTAGGTCTGCGTTTAAAACACTTGTGAATGACTTTTTATATTCTCCTGTTTGCTTTACTTATCACTGATTTAATGTAAATGTCAGACATCCACTAGGGAGAATAAAGCCAGCCTTTTACTTAAGTCAATACCTCCTCCACTTCAGCTAAAGCCTGTGAGAGCTCCCCATATTCATTCACAAGATCTGTAACTCTTGAAGTGCTGCCTGCAGAAGGACTTAGGAAACTTCAAGGTTTTGCCTCTCAAGAGTTTTTAGCCTGAGCGTTTTTTCAGTGCTTCTATAGGATGTGTCTGATATCCCCTGTTCAGCTCTTGGAAACCAGGTAATGTGTTTTGTGAATCAGCTGTCTCTCTCTTAGGTATATTGCTCGTATCCAGCACTTGCTGTACTGCAGCACTCTGCCTTTGGAAACAGGTCTATTCTAACTTCACAACAGAGCCGTATCCTGGAATGTTTGCTGAAATACATCCTGCAGGCATTTATTTGTCAGCTGTAGTCTGCTGTCTGCTAAAATAAACACTGGAAAGGTTGGCTTATGTCTGGGCTCTTGCTCAGGGTCTGACCCACTTGAGCTGTGTTCTGGTGGGGAGTTTGCTGATGGGGGATGGCCTCTCTTCAGCAGCTTGCCTTTCCTCAGTGAAGAATTTAGAATCATAGAACAGTTAGGGTTGGAAAGGACCTTAAGATCATCTGGTTCCAACCCCCCTGCCATGGGCAGGGACACCTCACACTAAACCATGGCACCGAAGGCCTCGTCCAACCTGGCCTTGAACACCGGCAGGGATGGAGCATTCGCAACTTCCTTGGGCAACCCATTCCAGTGCCTCACCACCCTCACAGTAAAGAACTTCTTCCTTATATCCAATCTAAACTTCCCCTGTTTAAGTTTGAACCCGTTACCCCTTGTCCTATCACTACAGTCCCTAATGAAGAGTCCCTCCCCAGCATCCCTATAGGCCCCCTTCAGATACTGGAAGCTGCTCTGGGGTCTCCACGCAGCCTTCTCTTCTCCAGGCTGAACAGCCCCAACTTTCTCAGCCTGTCTTCATACAGGAGGTGCTCCAGCCCCTGATCATCCTCGTGGCCTCCTCTGGACTTGTTCCAACAGTTCCATGTCCTTTTTATGTAGAGGACACCAGAACTGCACACAGTGCTCCAGGTGAGAGCAGAGTAGAGGGGCAGGATCACCTCCTTTGACCTGCTGGTCACGCTCCTTTTGATGCAGCCCAGGATACGGTTGCTTTCTGGTCTGTGAGCACACACTGAAGCCGGCTCATGTTCATTTTCTCATTCACCAGCACCCCCAAGCCCTTCCTGCAGGGCTGCTCTGAATCTCTTCTCTGCCCAACCTGTAGCTGTGCCTGGGATTGCTCTGACCCAGGTGTAGGACCTTGCACTTGGCATGGTTATACCTGCTCTTAAATCCTGCTGCACAGCCATAAATAAAACCTATAGCTGCACACATGTTTAAGCTCTCTGAGTAGAAATGAATTTAATTTCAAGCTTAAATACTTTCTTAATTGCTTATTCCATGGGTAGATACCCAGGATTTGCCTGGGTGCCTTTGTCCTAGACTATGTGGGACTTAAATATTTAAGCCAATCCAACATGATTTTGTGAAAACTCTGTGGTTTTAGAGGTTATTCTGGTTTTTAGAGGTTATTCAGTCTTCCTTTTTGTCAGTATTCACATCACTGGTGAATTTCCAATTGCTAGTGCTTAAGCTGAGTTCATGTCTGCTACCATCGAGAGATGTGTTATGGATAGGAGACCTTTAGTTAAGATTCATGTGTCATCATCACTTAAAATATTTTGAGAACAGATTAGACAAAATTCTGTATAATTTGAAGCCATATGTTCATCTGTGGAGGATCTGGAGTTTGTTTAATTCACCAGCAAAGGGATTGAGTAATTTGGGTAGCACCTGGTTTTCTTGAAGGACTCTTTCAGCTTAGCTAGTGATCTTGTTAATGGCAGGAATGACTGCCATTTGGACTTGCATCATTAGTTGTAACAGGCATCTGAGTAGCAGCTGGGTGTCTGATAGCATATTCATCCTGTATTTTCCTGAGAAAGAACTACCATCTCTTGGAAGTGCCTGATGAGGGTGTTGGGTTATGGTTCCTTTTCCCCACCTTCCACCACCACCCCCCCAACTTGGTTTCCTTCCTTCTTTTCCTGTTGCAGAAGTAATTAACAGGATGAGCATCCATTAGGTGCTTCCCCTGTGCAGCTCCCACTTCAGCAGCAGAATGCAGATAGCTTTGCAGTCATTAACAAGGTTGAACTTTAAAAAGAAATGTGCTACAAAAGAGGATTTTCTTATTCATCTCACTGTTTGCAACACTGCAAGCTTGAGGAGGCTGGTGTTTCTTATGTAGAATAGCTGGTCTCATAGGGCTTACTGGCTCTCTGCAGCACACATCGAATTAGGCCACAGATACTTTCTGTCTTGGGCTAATTTAGAAACAGCTCTTTGAGTATTGCCCACTGGAATTTCCTTTAAGAGCCATCAAACTGATGTAACAACCACAATTCCCTTTCTCCTCAGAAGGTCCTGTCCGTGATAGGAAATGGAAGCAGGGTGGTTTGTCTCTTGCACTGGATGTTGTGCTACTTGGTTCTTAACAGCAGCATCTGCAGGATTTGGGAGCGCAAGGAGAACATGGATTTTAGAAGTTCATTTCTTTGCATGCCATTTCATGCTCCTGAAGTCAGATCACTTCATTGCACGGTGTGGTCATGTACCTGTTAACGTTGTGCCAAGTGTTAGAGCATGTTTTGGGCTGTTGGACGCTGTGTACTAAGCTTTGTGGGTTAATACATTAAGATTTGGCACTGATGGATAAACCCAAGCGTGGGGTAGGACTGACAGTGAGGAGTTTCCTCACTTCATGGGAGGAAAGAAATCCTTGCCAATTGATTCTGAAAAATCAAGCAAAAAAAAAGCTGTGTTCTCCCCAGTCACCTGCAGTTGTATTGATGGGGGGGAGCAGATGCTTCTGTGCATGTCCCCCCTGCTCAGAAACGGGGATGGATGGGGGTATAGACCTGCTGCTCCCAGTCCTGCCTCGCCATGCTGTGCTTGCCAGCAATGGCATTTCTCCTTTTCATGATACAGAAATCACATGCTTTTTGGGTGCAGCTAGAATATATACTTGTGCTACTACATCAGACACTGCAGTTGCCCTGTTGTCACACAGACTGCAAAATGTAGTTCAGTTCGTGTGAAAGCTCCCTCTCCAAGGCCAAAATAGCTTTAGTTGTAGAAGGCAGCAGCATATAATATACCCCCAAACACATAACCTTGGGGGTATGTTTTAGGTGCTGTGGGATTCAGTGCTGCGGGTGAGATCTAACCTATTGAAATGAGTGTCAGGGGAACTAAAGTTAATTTCATGGCTCCCATGCCACATTTGCCTCTCAGTGGTAACCTCATTGGGAGCTGATGTAGCTGACTGATAGAAGAACTCTGTCCTGCTTATTAACACAGGGCTCTGCAGTTACAAATTAGTGCTTATTCATCTATGAAGAGCGTTTGCTATCACCATCCGCAGCAAGAGTACAGAAGAGAGCTCCACCAAACTCCAAAGAGAAGAGCCTGTTGGCAGCCTTCGTGATAATCAGAATAAATGCAGAGAAATACTGTGCTCAGCCCCTGTGATGTCTATCAGGGAGCTATTTCAGTTGCTCCCTGAGGCATTCACATCTCAGCCCATCTGTGTCTGATCCTAAATTACTTATGGCTGTGAGAGATAAGGGATTTCCCCATAGATAAGGGGAGGGGGGGGCGGAACATAATTTCTGTGTTTGATATTTATATTAATGGCACAGCACGCAGAAAGCACTTAATTCCCAAGAAGTAGAATGTAGGTGACATAAAAATATCGGTGAAGATTAGATAGGAAGAAAAAGACACTGCCTCCAGCAGCTGCTGCTTTCCCTTGAAAATGGTCCCCTTGGTAGAGGATCAGGTGACAATGAGTTTGATGAGCATTGAAAATGAAATTCTCTAATAGCACAATCCACCTGCAAGCCAAATGTCACACAAAGACCCTGGCAAGACTGAAGGAAGAAAGAGGGAACATAACAGACTTTGTATTGCAGCAGCCTCTACCCTCAAAGTGCTTCCCAACCACCATGACTGAAGTTGCTGATCTCACTTCTTGGAAAGGCAGAGACACTTATGGCCATTTTCAGAAGCCAGGAGACTGAACAGTGACACGATGGCGTTGTCTTCACAAGAAGGTACTCTGAGTTGCCTCTTGTCTCCTAGTCATTAAGTGAATTGTAGCTTCAGCTGGGACAGGTTGTGCTCAACAGGTAAAGGAGGAGCTTGCCCTTTGGATCGCCTCCCCCAGAAATGCATCTACAGGCTTTGTTTACACGTAGGGACAATCCTGGACAATGTTACGCCAGCACTACCCCAGGATTCATAGCACTGAATGTTTAGTTCATACCTTAGGTGAACTGAGCATAAGTTCCACCTTTTGGAAGCATTTCTTGTCATTAATGCAGCTGTCAGAACATTCTCCATCACGTCTGCGGGATGATGTCTTGTGCTGCCACTTGTAATAGGGACTGGAGGCTCTGATAATGCAGCAGTCCTTGGAAAAAATCCGTGACACCATCTTGTTATGTACTAGAGAAATACACTGTTTGCAAGTTGTGTGCTCGTGTTCTTACACAAATAGAGAGCTTCTGGCACAGTACATCTGCCTCTCATTCTGGACCATCTACAAAACAGGGACAATATACAGGTTTTATACCATCGTGATCTCTCCTTTTCACTGTGCAGAAACTTTAACTGATACCAAATCCTGTCACATGTGGTATGTTGAAGTGAAATGGTACAGGACTGTGATATACACATGCACTATTTCTACCTATGGCAAAGGAAAAGCTTTGCAAAAAAAGTGAAACGTATTTGAGACTCTACTTGGGCTGAAATTGAACTTGGAAAGTGCTCACGAAAGGCCTTGGCATAAGCAGAGCTGGAGAAGTCAATTTGCTTTCCCAGATCTTAGTTCTGTCTATTTACAAAGCAGAAGTGAGACTGTTTCCTTAACTTTATGAAGAAATTAGAGATTGTGGAATGATAACCAAAGTTCCATGATACTATTACAGTTTCAGGCTACTTCACACCTGAAAGGCCTAAAGCTGAGCTTTTCCATGGGTTTATATTTTACATGCATTCATCTATCTGTGCACTATTAAATCTGTGATTCATATGTTGGAGTAATATGTTAGTAAAAGCCCACATTAGTAAGTGCTTAGCGTTACCTTCAATAAAGACAGCATTTGATGGTTTGTGACATTAGGGAGAGCTTCTTTCTGCGGTATGCTGAAATTTCCCTTAGGCCTTTTTCAGTGAGGTTGGGATGGGCTTGATTGGAAAATTTAATGGGTTCCATTTAATGGTTTCCATTCCCTTTTGCCAGGCTGGTCTTTAAAGCTGCACTTTCATGATGTGTGAATTTCTCTCCATTTGAAGAACTAACATCAGATACAACACAGCGAGCAGGTTTTAGAAATGAGCTATTAGGCAGAGAAGAGGCGCTTTTAAGATGCTCGCAAGTTGCACAGCAACCAGGGGAACTCGCAGTCATTTGATTCCTCAAATGACTCTGACTTTGACTCAGGGGAAAAACAGTTTTATTCTCCCCTCAGAGCTTTCTCTCATATGTGATGAAGAGAAAATGTGTTTACACGTTTTCCCCCTTACAAAAAAAGTTGTACCTCATCGCAGAGAAATGGCACCATCTATTACCATGTAAATTACTGCAGAACGCATCCAGGCACAGCTCCTGCTTGGGATCTTAAAAGAGAATATATAGCAGTGTAACCTTCTGTTTCTTCTGGCTTTTAGACAACCCATGCTGACCCTTCTGAAATCACAGATTAAACCCCAGCCAACTAAAGGACAGTCAGTGCTGGATGGTTTTGCAGTGTCTGTGGAATTGTTTCTTTCACCAGTTTCCGCATTCCAAGTCTCAAGACTTTTACAATAACATTTTCTGATCGTTGCAGGCTGCAGGTCTTGGTTTCTTCTGGAGTTCATCACCCCATCAACTGTTGTCCAGTTTCTGCTGCACACGTGTGTAGCTTGGTTCCAAATCACGTGTGTTTCTGATGTTGTCTCTTGATGCCCTCTGGAGCAGTGTCACTTGTATGTTAGATGCAGCAGTCTTATTTATCATAGTAGTAACAGATAAACATCCCACTTCATAAATGCCAGATATTCCTCTTGGAGATCTTACTTTCAATACTAACTCAGGTCAGCTCATCTATTCGAACTACCCATTCCAGAATGGTTTGATTCTGATATAAACAGCCTGATGTAGCATATAAAATGTATTCACAAGATCTAAAAATACCTACAGAAATGAATGACTTTATGAGACTGAGCAACTTGGTTTTCCCTTTGCTTGCCCTTGGTTTAGTCTTCTATGAAAGGTGTCTTTTCCTTGGTAAACGCTGTTAGAACTATGGTGTCCACTGGAAGTGTGGTTCCTTCTAATACAGCTGTGTCCTATCAGAGATGTAGTTATATTGCTGCAGGAGTATGTTTATCAGTAACTGTATCCATGCTAAGACAGTTTTTCTGGTTTCATTACAGCAAAGTGTAATGGGCATCCTCAAACAACAGTTGAGATTGCTCAGTGAGACATCTGAATTTGTTAGCTCAGAAGTGTAACTTCATTAAGATGGATTATCAATCAGATGCGTAAGGAAAACAAAGCTGTCTTGGTCTTGCAGACATCTCTAATGAGCGATGGGAAACGTTTTGAGAACCATGGGGCTGTCAGGGTATGATCAGGAGCACAAAGTCTGCTGGCATAGACCAGAGTTTAAATTTCCAGAGGATGTTAGGTGTTGGAGCAGTCTGAAGTAGCTGCAACCTGAGCGTGTCTGGTATGGAGTCACTGGGATGCAGTAAATCGCCATCAGAACGCTGGTTTTTGCAGAGTGAAGGTGAACTTTCAGTGTCACTTTTGGTACTGATCAAAGATTTCTGTTTGCCTCTGCTTCATCCCTTCCGTTTTACAGCTGCTCTCCTCTGTAACAGCGAGGCACGTTTACAGACGTGCTGTCCTGCTTCCCAGCAGACATCGCCTGCCTTCACTTCACATTACTGCATGCTGTCTCATGCCCCCCCCGGCCCACACACACATATGCTGGCCTCCTTGCACTAAACCACGTGCTGCACCCCACACGCTTCTGGAGGCATTCTCTCTCCCTCTCTCACACACCCTTTCCCTCTTGTCTCATCTTTTAGTCACTTTCTAAAGATGCTGACGCTGATTTGTTTGAGGCGGTCGAGACCTGAAACACTCTGAGAAGAAACGTGCTGGAAGAGAAACACATGGGAAGACAAAAAGCTCGTAGTAGTTTTCGTTGTAGCTCTTTTGCACAAGGCTCCCTGTGTGGTGAGCGAGTGATCTACGTAAGGATGCTTCAAATAGAAAAACACTCCCAGAAGAAATCTTAAACCCTATGCAGAAAAACAAGAGTGAAATCTCCCTCTTTTCTACCCTCTGTCTCCAAAATACGCTTTTCCACTCCGTAACCAGCCCTAAACTCAACATGAGGGTCTGTGTGGGCTCTAACACATACGTATGGGGGAGTGCACATAAAGCACCAGTCAGTAATGATCTTTCTTTGGTTTTTCTTCCTCTCCTCAGTTTGTTGCTCAGCCAAACTGCCAGCAGCTACTAGCAACACTCTGGTATGATGGCTTTCCAGGATGGAGGCGGAAACACTGGGCAGTAAAACTCTTGACCTGTGTCACCATTGGACTGCTATTTCCTGTGCTATCCGTGGCATATCTGATTGCACCGAAGAGCAGGCTGGGACTGTTCATTAAAAAGCCATTTATAAAGTTTATCTGCCACACCGGCTCTTACCTAACCTTCCTCTTCATGCTCCTGCTGGCGTCGCAGCACATCGTCAGGACTGACCTTCACATGCAGGGACCACCTCCCACCATCGTGGAATGGATGATCCTGCCCTGGGTTCTAGGTAAATCACAAACACAAACATGCCTGAGCCACAGTCTCCTGACTCGCACCCATGGCAACTGTGGGGAGACTCATTCCTGATCTCAGCATCAGCAGCATGTAAAGAGATTTGGCAGCCAGCTTCAGTAACTGCATAAAACAGCTGGGCTCCTTCTGGAACAACAGATCCCATTGGCCTAGGGCTCTTCTGCTGTTCATATTGCCATCTGACATGCCATCAGACATGACCCTGAGTAAACCGCAGCAGACACAGCTCTCTCCTTGCTTCCCCCATGCTCTGTGTGAGGAACGGGTTAGGAATTAGCTTCTGGGTCATGCTAGTAACAAATAGTGTCACCTCTCATGCTGGCTTAGTTCTGCTGGCTGATACGTGGCAGAAGGCAGTGCCCAGAGCCTGACTCTGCTTTCACCCTCTCACTGATCTGTGCCCAGAGCCAGTGCACAGGTACCAGACCTGATTCCTGGGGTCCAGACTCCCAAATAGCCTAAGGCTGGCAGAAAAGATAAATCTCACTCTGCCGTATGCCTCTGTGCTAATAAACACCGACTAAATCAATATCTACTGCTCTAATATAAGCACTGGAAGGAGAGAGTGTTTATTACAAGGAGGCTCTTACTGCAGTCACAGTGGGCAACCACAGCTGTGAAGAAAAGGTGCCAGTGTTCCTGAGGGCAGGACGTACGGGTGAGGTAGTGAGATGGGACAGGGGAAAGCAGATAGAGCCTCTGAGGGAGAAGAGCAGAGAAACCAAGTTGGATGTGTTTTTTATGAGCAAGAAGCATTTACCCTCTCAAACTGAGCTTCAACACAAAGGCAAGCAAAAACCTGAGACCTCCATTAGAAGCATGATCTCCCCTTTAACTACACTCACATCTCCTTTGCTGTGCCATGAACATGTAGCACCACTATGAGCTGGGGTGTTACCAGAAGGCCTGCTCACTGGAAGTGGTTTCCATACCTTTACAGCTCTCCTCCATCCTCTGCCAATACAGCCCTGGTCAGTTCATTGCAAAACCCCAGAGATCAGGTACCAGTGAATTAAGACTGTCTGGTAGAGGGCAGTGGCCTGGAAAGCCACACTGATGCTGGTGGAAAACAAGAAAATAAGAGTTGCAAACAAAATCCATTCCAGTGGTGACCCAGGGCACTTTGCCTCTTCCATAGCTCTACCACAACTTACAAATGGTAACTCAAGGCTCACCATCTTGTTAAACTGATTTATGCCATTGAACACATGTGTTGGTAGAAACTCCAGCATAAGCTGAGGAGGTTAAACGTCTCTATTGAGCTTAGGTGATCTCTTCACTTTATCCTTAACTTTGTGGTTAAAACTGAGGGAAATGGTAAACATTTCAGCAAAATTGATTAGCTGAAGGATAATCCATTAAAAAACCCCTGTCAAAGTCACCTCTTACAGCTGCCTGCTCCTCCTTTGGAGTTCCTGTGTTTTGGATAAGTAGGGATATTGTGGGACTGTGTATTGAGAAATTAGAACAGTTTCACCAGCATAAAGGTTATGGTTTAAGAAATATTTTCCACAATAAAAGGAGAGAGAGAGCAGGCACACACGGCATTGCTGTAACTATAGTAACCAGCAGCGATAACTCTCTATAAATACAGTGCATGAGTTCTTCAACAGGCTCCTCTCTGTTGATTTATTTCATTCCATGGTTTTGTGTGCATGCAAAGATTTGGAGGCAGCTGTAATAAAACCACCCCGTTGGCCTTGACGTTGCCTGACCATTGACCTGCTGGCTGGCAGCTGAAGATCTAAGATAGATATTTAGGTGTTTGCAGCAGTTCATTTCAACGTTATCTGCTCTTCAGATCGAGCTTTCAGGTCCTAAAGCTGGAGTTGCAGGTAGCATTTCAGTGACCACTGCAGTGTCCTGTGGTTAGGGACCGGCAGCAATTTGGGTAACTATGTTGGTAATGCACCTAAGGTGTATTTTGTTGGTTTCTTTTTCTTTTCATATGTTTCGGGTCTTCATTCAAGGAAAATGTTGTAAACTGAGTAATTTAAAGTATCTGGGGGCTCTATAGATACTCTCAGAAGCATACAGATGATGAAGGAGCCTAGCTGCCATTTGCTTTTAATGGGACTTATGCTTTCAAAAATGCTTAAACAGTTCTACAGTAAAGGACACGTAAGTTACTTAGAATTAGAATTGTGAGTCTAGCAGTCAGGTAAGGAACTTCAGAAGCTGGCCCTCTCCCCACCAGCCCCAAGGAGGTAGAGTGAAGGTTAGCAGGTGCCAGAAATGATTACCAGAAGGCATTTCAGAGTTGAGATGATGGGCTCTGGCCGTACCCTCAGGAGCAAATATTCACCTCACAGAACCCATAGCCGTATCTGACACCAGGTGAGTCAGTCCCACTGCCAGGCTGCAGTGCCTTTCTTCCTGCCGAGTCCTACCTTTTCTCACAAGTGGTCCCAATGGGCTTTTTATGCAGCAAGAAGCATCAATACAGTGACTGAGCACAGAGAATGAATTCACTTCTTCCTTCTTTGGTGTGATATTTCTAGGTCAGGGAGGAAATGTACTGGCACACAGAAGCCGGTGCTAGTGTTGCATGTTCTGCAGAGACAGTCAGGAAAAATCAGTGCTGTCCAACTGAGCAATGAGTTACTGATAGTTTCTGGGAGAGCAGACAATCTGTTAGAAACTATATAAAATACAGTGGCATAAATAGTTTATTCGTGTAGAACAAATTTGACCTGAGCCAATCCGCTCATACTAGCTGTAATTAACATACATTTCAAGCAGTTTCCTTGTGTGTATGTCTGGAGCCCTACATAGGAAACCTGGGTCTTTTTCATCTCTCTCTAGACTCCATTCCCCACAGAGTTGTAAAATGCTTCATGATCAGCACTATTGTACTTTGTCAAAGACAGGAGGGATGAGACACTTTTTCCAAGCTATTAATTTAGAATTGTCTTTTATTTCAGCAGGTATACACAGTGCTTTAATGGCAAATAATACCTTGTCATGTCAATGAACTCTCTTTCTTTCTACAGGTTTTATCTGGGGAGAAATCAAGGAGATGTGGGATGGTGGATTCAATGAGTATGTACATGACTGGTGGAATCTGATGGATTTTGCAATGAACTCCCTCTACCTTGCAACTATCTCCCTTAAAATTGTTGCCTACGTCAAGGTACGGTATCTTGGGAGAGATAATTTGTAACTCGCTTCTGAGAACTGTAGTGCACAGGGTAGTAGCTGTCAAAATCAAAGAGAAAAGCTGCTTTTTCACCTGGAAATTCACCTGGAAAGCTTAGGAATTTGTTTGGAGAATGCTCATCCTTCTCACCCTGACATTTAAATCAAGACTGAAGTAGATTGTTTGGGCAGTAGGTAGAAGTTTCCCCATTTGGTGTCAATTTTGTAGCTCCTTAGTTGTCAAACATCCGTTTTGTTTTCCATACTGACGCTGGACATCTTTCAACAATTCTAGATATAGTGAAAACATGAATCTAAAATAAAACAGTAAAGTTAAAAGCAAGAATAGGGTTATCTGAAAGCATCTGCAGCCAAGATTTATAAGCTGTGAAAAGTCTACCAAGAAAAGCAGGCCTGCTAGTAGGAGGCTTCTGTCTCATACAAAAGAGTCAACTTATTCTCTTCAATATATAGCTTTAAACCATAGGCAAAGAAATGACAAAGGAGCATGCTGGAACTTTGATATTGTGTAGACGCTTCACTGTCATCTTCCATTGATGGCAAGAACGCACAGCAGAGCTCATCCTCAAAAGCACCTTCCACATTTATCAACTTCTGATGCTCCATTTAGCGTATGCCCATGTTTTGAAGCCAGAGAATGGCCTGAAGCACTTTCCTTCTGTCTCTCTGTTTCAAAGACCCAGACAAGGCACAAATGGTCTCCTGCAAACTTCTTTATGCAATGGCTCTGTGACTTCAGTCTGTGCGTGCTTGGCCTGGTTCTTCTCTTGGTCTGAATCTGCGGTAATCTGCAGTAACTGCACTGCAGTGAGTGTAATTACACAGGTGTAAATCAAGTAATTGAAGTCTGCTCCTTGGCCATTTGTGCACTTTCCAGGTTCCCTGTGCTACTGTTGGTTTTGCCCTGCTAGAAGAATACTGCTTGTTTTAGCCCAGCTCCTAATAACCAGGACAAGCACTTCCCCCAGGTAACCTTGTTTAGTCCCACCCAAGCATGTGCACAGGCAGAGAGGAAATGAGGAGAAAGCAGCACAAAGCTCATTGACTCCACCATGGCAAGCAGTCTGCTGTGGGGTCTTTTTAAAAATCCAGGATGCTGCATAGCACTGAGTTAGCTTTTCAAAGGGAAGAGCTTTAACATAGCTGCTGCTCCCTGAAGAGGCAGCTCTGTAACAGCATCAAAGCAGGAAGAGATTACATCTTTTTTCTCCCAGGATTCAGAACCAGGGAGGAAATTACAGACTTGAAAGGTTGGCCTTTAAACTGAGAGCAATAAAAAAAAATAATGCTGGAAATGGGAAGATTCACAAACAAATCTTAAAATGTTAACAATCTTGTTCTTTCTCACACACAAATGACTAGAAGAGCTGTGCATCCATAGACTTACACAGTCACATACTGAGATTTAAGCTCATAGCCAAACCACATGTACAAAGGAGGTACAGCTTTGTTTGTATACTCTGTAAGAGCTACAGTTACTTACAGGCTGACTACAAAGACCTATATGCCAGTACACAAAAGGAATATATCTGTCTCTGAGTACAGATCAGACCCTCTTGGATTAAACCTGGCTGATCTAAGGTCTGCTCCAGTGTCAGACAATTCTGAGAGGTGCATAAAATCTCCTATCGGAGTAGTTCTGAACCAGCATGCCCGCAGAAGTTCCCTTCTAAGTGACCTATGTCACTTAGAGGCTGCAGTATGCTCTGAAACATGAGGATATATAACACTGATAATGGCTTCAAAACCTTTTGCAACATGATTTGTAAAGGTTTTTGTTATTTATAGAACAGCCCCGAGCTGGAAAAGGCTGGGATATATGCCAATATACCATGTTCTAACACTTCTTAGAACTTCAAAGGATTACATGGACATTTAGATTTCTGCCAAATATCAGAAAAATAAATTGCAAACTGACACTAATGTTTTCCATCCTTGTTTTTATGTGGTGACTTTTTCTTGTTTTGATTTGACTGGTTCCAAGACCTGACCCTAATATCATCCAATACCAATGAAATCTTCCGGCTAATTATAGGGTAAAAATACTTTCTTAATCAGCTTTCCTTTGTTGCATTGAATTATCATGTAATGAGGAAGGGTAAATGTGACTGCCTGGTGTAACTTACTTGTACTAGTCTGAATGCATCTCTGCTCTGTTTCATTTTGTGATGCCCAACCCAACCAACTCCAGCCTCCCTAGACACCCAGCTTCATTAGATACCTCTGAAATCTTTTATCTGTGATGGCTAGGTTGCTCTGAAGAGTCTACTGATTACCAAGCAGGGATATATCATCAGGGCCAATATATGACCCTAACAAGCTGCTTTAATAATAGATGTGAGATGAAGATGACCTTTTCACATACCTTTACATGCAGTCTATGCTAAGCCCTAGCAGAGGGTCCCTGGGCTGCTATGTCCAGGCAGCATGCAGAAGAGAATTGCAAACAGCTATACAAATCTGCTGTCTGTGCAGGGGAGACTTTCCAATCCCACCCACCCACCCCCAGTGCTGGATACTGGCAAAAAGTTAACATGGCTACCTGTTTGTAAGCATTTTAAGACCCATCTTCAAATCAAGTTAACAGGCGCGGGTCATGATGTTCATGTAATAAAGAGCAGTTTGGAAATGTCAGAAACAATCAGAGGTCATGCTGCAATGCCTTTGTATCATGTCTCAGCTCCGCCATACAGAGGAATTGTTTGAAATACCAACTTGCTTTCAGCTGTGTCCTTGAAAGAAAATTGTGAGCTCACATGTTGGACCTTCAGATTTAAATAGAAAAGTCCCCTAAATTCATCTGTCTCTGATGTTTCTTCCTTTTAAGAGACACAAAAATTATTTTAGGAGTCCTAAACACACTGGCTGCACTGTTAGCTATATATTCCAAGTACATTTTTGCCTTTTATACATGGGAAATGAGCAGAGACAAATGTTAAGAGGACAATTATTCTTGACATTAAAATGTCTTTGACTCCATTCTGTTGTGCCAGTGTAGTTAAGCCAGAGTAGTTAACATTTATACAACCAGCTCGTTTGTGTAACCTATTTGCATCTGGCTGCTCTTTGCTCAGAAAATGCTTCTGCTTTTACAGTTGCATTACAAACCAAGTTAATGTTATAATTGATGCACTCAAATGTATCCAGTGCTTCAGCTGTAATTAGGACCTGTGCTTTAGCAACTCTCCTAAAATTGCCATGGCAAATTAACTAATAAAATTAATTTGAAGAAAGTGTTTTGTTTCTGGGCTGTTGGCGAGGTTTTGAGATTACCAGGGAAGGAAAGCATCCATTTCTTAGGCTCACCAGTTCATTGCTTCCCCTCTTCCCTCCTCCATCCCCTGGATTCTTCCAGGAATGTGCAAGTGTTCTCAATGTGCGATCATTTTTAGGAGCAAAAGGAAAGAAAAGGTAGTGGGGAATTTCTGACCTGAACTCTTTAAGCATTGAAATAGGTTGTGGACGAGCCCGTGGACCTGAAGGACCTGCAAACAGTGAACTCAGAATTCAAAAGCCTTGTTTTCTAAGTTTAGGCTAAGACCAGCCAATGTTCCAGAAGCCTCTGAAGAGTCTAAAACTACTTCTCATGGTAGTGGTTACATGTATTAGAGGATGTGTCTTTTTACGTTATCTGAGAGCAGTTACAACATAATTAACTTTTATACCCTTGTTATTTCTTTCAGTATAACGGTTCTCGTCCAAGGGAGGAGTGGGAGATGTGGCACCCGACTCTCATTGCAGAAGCCCTCTTTGCAATATCCAACATCTTAAGTTCCTTGCGTCTCATATCCCTGTTTACAGCAAATTCACACCTGGGACCCTTGCAGATTTCTCTGGGACGCATGCTGCTAGACATCCTTAAGTTCCTTTTTATCTACTGCCTGGTGCTTCTGGCTTTTGCCAATGGACTGAACCAGCTTTATTTTTACTATGAGACCAGTGCCTCGGAGGAACCCAACAACTGCAAGGGGATCCGATGTGAGAAACAGAACAATGCCTTCTCCACGTAAGAGGTCCTTTCCTTTCCATTTGTAAGCGTGACTTCCACTGTCACTCTGTTACCTGCCTTTGCCTGGTGTCTTGTCGCTGCGCTGACAGTGCCCTTATTTATTCATTTGCAAGTATCAGGTGAGCTGGTTGATGCTGCAGGAAAGGTGTGAGGGAACTGGGGCAGACATTCTGCTGAGCTTTGCTATCAGAAAGACTTACTTATGTCTGCAAGTTCTGGATGAAGCTGTCACCCTATGTGATCCTGAAACTTACGTTTTATTACGGCTGTGTTCAATCCCAGTGTGTTTCAGAAAGCAAGGATACTTTGGCCATGATAATTGTAAAGAAGGAAAGAAGGAGAAGCTAAACAAAATGTAGCAACCAAGGGAGAAACATAAGAAAAAAGACATCAGTCTCACCCAGGGCTTTTTTATGCACGCATGATGACGTTGCAGGCTTCTCTGCTTTCCTTGCGGTGCGGTGAGACTACAATCCCAGCAAAACCCTTTTTTTGCTGGAAACGCTGATACTTTACTGAGATGTTGGCATGGAAATGGCTGTGGTGACAGCTGGCAGGGCTGAAAGAGATAGCACATGCTGAAAAATAACATGAATTCTCTTTCTGATGTATTTGTTTTAATTACTAATAGTGCAAATAATTATAATAATCAGCCCCTGTGCCTTTATTCTTGCCGCTTGCACAGTACTTAAAACACAATGGGAAGAGAAATAAATAAAGCACGGTCTAGAAAAAGGCCTACGCCCTGCAAACAAGCAAACCAGAACTGTTGTCCACCAGGCTATGCTAAATGAAGTGAAACTTGTCATAACGCCCAATAATTCTCCACCCTTCCTCAGCTGAAGGCTTGAGGTTAAGAAAGGATTTGTGACACACTTGCACTGTTATCAAAAGCAGATGATGGCTGAGGCCACATGATGAGGTGGGGAGAGGAAAGGCTCCAGCACTGCCCTGTGGGCTCTGTGCTTTAAAGAAGCAGGGGGTTTTCACAGGATAGAGCCCAGCTTTACAAGAGCATCCTGACTCGATAGACCAGACACGCTGCTGGTTTCCACTGCAGAGCAGGAGCACCACAGGCTTGATTAATTTTCTCGGGAAGCCCCCCTCTATCTGGAAGGAGTGAATGGAACTGCACTGTGCTAATGAAAAGCAGAATTAAAGACTTCGGTCTGGTTTGTATGTTAATTGCTTCCCATGCCCCAGAAATGTGCCGTGCTGCCCTTGCAAAGGAATCAAGTTAACACAATCCTATTCCTTGACCTGCGTCCATACTGATGCAGCAGCCAGAGGGAGAAACGTTTGGCGAGCACAGTGTTTGTTAAATGGCAACTTCTAGCACAGGAAGGAGCAAACCCAAGTTCAGAACCAGAGCCTGCCTTCCCCTGGAGCTAGGGTGAGCAGATGTGCTTAGTTCTGCGTTCTAGCTTGGGCCTGTCTCCACTGCAAACCAGTTGCTTTACGGATTTCACTGTCAGCAGGTTAGGGGAAAAAACAACAGCAGGATTTGACTGAAGAAAAAGGGCCTTGAGTCAGTGGGGAAAAGAAAAAGCTCTTCAAGCCTGTAAGAAGGTGTAATATCTTGGGAAGTGGCAATGATACAGAACCACTCGACAGAAAGTGTGCAGATCAGCTTAAATACAGACCACAGTTTCTCCCACCCTAGCATTCAGTTTAAACCCCCTGCCAAGGAGAATGTAGCACAGAGAGGAAATTGAGGGGGCTCAGCCTTTATGGCAGAGGCTTGTGTAAAACAAAATCGCAGTGGGAGGGGATCCATTAGGACCGAGGTCTCCTGGCAGGGGACAGAATGCTCCGCGGTTACTTTTTGTTTGAGACTTGCTTAAGAAATGTATTTAACATGTCCTTAAAGGTTTAAATAGTCGTTATTAACACCCCCGGTACAAGCTGACACTTGGCCCCTGAGCAGATGCACAGCATGGGGGACTGGCTGAGAACAAGCAACCTGCAGAACGGAACATTGTATTGTTGGGCTGGAGTGAGTTCAAGTCAGAGCTGGTGGTACCTCAGGTTTGCTCATAGTTCATCCCTAATGAAAGAATAAATGTAAAAAGCTTTCAATCAGTACCCTTTGATTCCTGCCAGCATTTCTAGGCGCTCACACAATGAGACCTAATTTCCTAAGGGGAGGAAAAGCAAGACGCCACTCGTGTTTGTACAGCTTGTTTAAAACGTGACACCTATTTACTGCTGCATTATTTCCTATTAGTCCCAAAGGATGGGTTTAATATTTCTTGGTGAGGAAATTTTCTGCATTGCGAACACAGATCATGGGAAAGTAATATTCCTTTGTGACAGCAATGAGGTGAAGTCATGAATAATTTAAGGTTTTGTGCTTCAGCCTCACCTTGGAAAGCTTGGGCAATTTGAAAATGTGTTTATCGCTGTGATTCTGGCAGCTGGAGGAAGGAGAAGAGAGAGAGGAAGAGGAGGAAGGGGTGGAGGCAGTCACACCTCACTGCCTGCTCTCCTTCTCACTGGAGGGACACACTGGTGTCCAGGGCTGTTCCCCAGGGGCTGCAGGAGGGTTCCTGCAGCAGAGGAGCACTTGCTCTCTGTGGAGAGATGGTGGTGCTTTGGGATTTATCCAGTTTGCTTCAGATGCAGGATGTACTCATCAAGAGGGGGAGTCTCTCGATCGCAATTAACAAAATTCCCTTTCTAAAGCTGCTTCCCCCAAGTAGGGTGCTTCTTGGGTGAGATGGTTTAGTGTGAGGTGTCCCTGCCCATGGCACGGGGTTGGAACTGGATGATCTTAAGGTCCTTTCCAACCCTAACTATTCTAGGATTCTATTCTATGATTCTATGAGTGGTGTGAGCCCCACCTGAAACAATTACTGTGGAAAGAGATCATGGTTCTGACCTGGCATTAAGGAGAGAGTAACTAAGCCTTACTTCTCTGCAGAGGTGCAGAAAACAGTTGCTGTCTTTTTCATGTCCACATGTAAACATGTTTGCCTTAGTCTGGGCCCAAATTATACTCCTGGTTAGTAGTGTGAATTCAGACCAATGCAGTGATCTCTGGTTTCAGGTTCATGACAGGAACCTCTGTCTCCCCTGAGCCTAATCAGTACTTCTGCTGCTAATAGTTAAAAGATAGCTGGCACTCTCGCGTTTTTAGCAGGGGAATGTTTAGCATTCTTATTTTACCACCTCACTTACTTAACAAAGCTAACAAACAGCCTGACTTTTGGGAGAAAGGATTTTTGCTTTAAAGAGTCTTTATAGTCTTGGCCAGTGAAAAACGTAAGATATGTCCACAAAATACAAAGAAACGAAATCCCCATACGAAGCAAGGGGGTTACATGTGGAGCAGATGCCTGGAGAAGGCTGGGGTACAGATTCCTGGCATGTCAAGTAACGTATCTGAATTGTTTGCATTGATTTTTCCAGTAGTAGCTTTTGAAAATACCTACTGCCCTCCGGCCAAAATGGGAACTCTTAAACAGGAATATAAATGTCATTTTTTGATTATATAAATGCCATATTCTGGAAAGCCAGAACAAAGATGCCCAAATAGAGCAATTATTTAGATTGCTGATTATGTATTTGACGTGATTGCGAAAGGTCACTTGTCTCTGGCTGAAGCAAATAGAGACCTGGGATGATCTCATCAGCTGTAAAGCACAGTGAGGTCAGGTCTAGTTCATCTATGGAAGGAAGACTTCAAAAGAAGAAAAACCTCTTGAGCTGAATTAAAGTGATGACTCTCATCTGAGTCATTTCTGATCAGTCATTACTGATCAATTCTTGCAGTGCTGTTGCCGGCCCTGCGCTGCGGTGGTGGGAGCTGCTGCACAAGCAAGCCACAGAGAGCAGCATTTTTGACCTCATGCACTGCAAACTGACAGGGTCTTAGCACACTGGCCTGGCTCACTTGCAGCCAAATCAATGGCAAGCTCTCAGCCTGTATTAGAGCAAAGGTGCAAGTCAATGTGGTTTCTCCCATCTCCTACCTCGTGTTGCATTGTTGTTGTGCACTGTTTAACTACTGCTGTACTTGGGGGTGGGTTCCCTGAACATTGAGTCTGCAGATGTGTTAATGATGGAGGCACTGATTGAACAGGAGAGTTTGTGTCTACAGATAACAGCAGTGTCACAGCACAGCAATTCTAATTAGAGGGAATATGTCGTGGCTGTTCTTTCGGTGTGTGTAGAGCGCAAAAAGGAACTTTGGGTTCCTTCAGGGCACTTATGCTTGCTGCACCTCACAATGATACGGACAGGATTCTTGGACAGGTAGCAAATGTTGATGTGACACAGCTCTCACATGCATTGGCCAATGGGTCACTGTGGCTGGAGTGAGGACTGTCCCCAGGGAGAATAAATGGCTGCACTGAGCAGCCACTTTGGAGTGCCCCAGGCTTCTGATGCCTAATGTGTTCTCCAGCACCTGAACCAGGCATTGTTTTCCATTCCCCAGAGCCAGGCAGCCAAGTAAAAACCTGTTTTTATTTGCAGACTTTTCGAGACCCTCCAGTCGCTCTTCTGGTCTGTGTTTGGTCTGCTCAATCTCTACGTCACCAACGTGAAAGCCAGACACGAGTTCACAGAGTTTGTTGGGGCCACTATGTTTGGGACCTACAACGTCATCTCCCTCGTCGTGCTGCTGAACATGCTCATAGCCATGATGAACAACTCCTACCAGCTCATTGCTGTAAGTTATCTCATTCTCTCTCTCTCTCTCGGCTTTTATTTTTCTTCCATGTGCTTCATCTGTTTGGCTTGCAGCAAATGCGTATCTTCTGGGATGCTGGAGGCTGCTGCCTCCTCTTTTTGACAGCAGATAGTTGGGATTTCTACTCACTAGCCTAAAATCATGCTTGCAGAGGAGGTTTTGCTCAGTTTGTAATGCTACCTCAGTGGAAAAGGCTTATCAGCTGTTATCTGCCCTTGTCACCTCACTGGTCACCTTGGCATGAGCAGCTGATTTACTTGGCAGCAGAGAGGGTATCTAAAAGGAAAGCCTTCCCACTGCTTCTTGATGTTGGGCTTTAACTTGGGGTGCTATTTTTTCCCCCTCTCTCCTATTACTGTTCTCTCGTTTGAGAATGTGTCAGAAGCCCAGTCCTGTAATTTCTTACTCCACAGTCTTCCCACTGAAATTAGATCATTGCCATCTGTAACACCAGCCAGCCTCCTGGCAGCTGACACTCTAGACCCATAATCTCCGAGCCACCTCAGCGCAGGATGGATCTGAGCTGCCAGTTGGCTGTAGAGCCAGTTTCAGACCTTATCTTCATTTGAATGTTCAGAACTGGTCTCTACTGTAATCTCATTCTGTGTACCTAAAAGCCAATCTGCACATTGATGATTAAATTTGTCAACAGATTGAAAACTGCAGCAGTGTGGCCCTGCATTTTAAGGCTGTTCAGGTAAATTGCACAGACAGTATGGAAGGAAGTTAAATCTTGTGTGCACAGTACTTAAGGTAAATCAACGGGCACTTACTTTCCAGTGCTGACACCTAACATGATAGGTTTAGAGCTAGTGAGATGATGAAGTGTTACATCACCTGTGAACAGAAACAGGAGTTGGGAAAGTCATTTGTCTCCTCAGCTGCTCACTCAGTAGAGACGCCATGGAGACTTCCTTCTCTGCTCTTGGATTTACTCTAGAACATGAAACAGAGGAAAAATAGAACCAGTCAAACCGGTGATACTTTTGGACACCTGATCTTTATCACGTTAAAAAGTATGAGAAAAACTGGACCATTGACCTTCCAAACAAGCAGAAAGGCAGCTTATCACAAAGCATCAGGGAGCTGTATCAGTCTTTCAGTGCTTTAAGTGCTTTCTCTTTGTTCAGTGCTACTCCTCACATTCCAGGGAGACTGGAATGAGGGGCAGGAAACAAAGATACTCTCCTTGGCCTTTTTGTCCCATTCCCCTTCCTTTATTGTCATCAAATAGGCTTGTCACTGACAGAAAGCCCAAACCTAAGATTGGCTAAGAACAGCAGTATTTTCCATTCACTGGGACACAAACCACTCATCATTCTTTTCCCTGAGTAATCTGAGTGGTTCAGTGACACATTACAAACCATCCCACATGACTTCAGAGACCCATCATAACAATTAACTGAAGTGAATGGTCCAGAGCAGGACTTGTGTTAATGTTTTTGGAGCAGTTGGGAACAGTGAATTGCGAGATCAAAAGGTATTGTTTGTGAGAGGCCTGAAGGTGAAGGACTGAACTCACCGGATAAACCTGGCCATAACACCCAATTCAGCATGCATGAGTCCTTACTCAGAGGAAGGATAGTGAAAATGCCACAGGATATTCTTTGTCACTTAAGCTGTCATATCGCAATGGCTGCTGAGAGCAGTGGCATTGCTTGGGAAGGCAAGAGCAGTCACTTCCAGCCCCTTCTCATGCAGCTTGGTGTTTGAAGCTAATAGTTCTGCGTGCTCACAGCATTCTCTTAGGGACAAGTTTTCCTCGTGTGACAAACATCAACTAATCTCTTCCCTGAAGAAAACAACTCATTAATAGATGTTGCGCTTTACAACTGTGGTCAGTTTTTAACCTCCTGTAATCAGCTCTACCCCTTTCCGAATCACAGTAGACTGGTTGCTAGACTGGGCATTTCTTCCTCCTGGTATTTAAATTACATTGAATACACATGGAATGACAGTGTTCCAGGGAAGAAGGAGGGGAAAGGACCCTTGGGGTGGGGTGGAGGTCTTCTCAAATACCTCAATAGGAAACCGCGTGCCATGTGCAGGGCTCTGCAGAGAAATAAGATGAGCTAGACCCCAGGGATGAGAGTGCATCTCTGCTGTTGATTTCCCTGCAATGGAGTGATCAGGACACCTTAATTAATTCCACTTGCTAATGAGCCAGTGGCACTGCTGCAATGCAAACAGTCTTTCTCCCCTGATTTTTTGCAGGGACAAATACATTAATGCATTTGTAGCAGTTACTCATCAAGTTAGCGTCTCTCCATTGTCTCCTATATATACATCAATTCTGCTGTGTATTTCTTCACTCTTCATTGTGTCTCCACAGTGTGGGGCTTAGGGCTCGGTAGTTAGTTAAGCACTGTAGGTGCACACCGTGAAACCACAGGGTTTCTGTGGAAGGCAGAGCAAGGCAAGCAAAGAGTAAAACCTCCACACCGCTCTGAGTGATTCCTCACCCACAGGAGGAAGAATTTTCCTGCCATAATTTTGTTGGGGTTTTTTCACTAAGCTATTTCAGCCTTCAATAAACACATCTTTCTGGGGGTACCCCGAGGCAGTTTCAATATTGATTTCTTTACATGCAGCCCATTTTTCTCTTTTGCCAAACTGGTTCCAGCAGGCACAATGTTTCACTGCCAAAGCAAACAAAATCCAAACACACACCAGCATTTGCACCGCGTCTGTACTCGAGGATCAGAATGTTCTATGCAAGCAGCACATAATGCGGCTGGGTGTGATGCACGGCCGGGTCCTCATCTCAATACCTTCCAGACGTGACAGAAATACCCTCACCCGATTAATAGCAGAGGAATACATCATGATGGCAAGAGGAAGGACAATGGAGCTTATCTGAGAGTAGCCAGGTGACTCCATCATTCCTAAGTGGCAGAAAGTAGCAGAGTGGGTAATGAGGACACTTCATCTGATAGCCTGCTTCTCATAGGAATGCCACTTGCCTGTTAATAGTTACACAATCTGTAATCTCCTCAAAGTAATGTGGCAGTGGGTGGTACTGGGGGTCCAAGGGTACATTTTGAAGGGAATTAGCAATCTACACACATTTTCTGAAAGCATGTTCCTTATGGACACATCTGTGATGCTCTGGGAAGTCATGCAGGAATTAGTCACTGGAACTGTACCAACAGTTCTGACTCTGCAGCTGCAGGAGCAATGGGAAGCAAGATCGACTGAAGAACAGCAACTAAGACCCATCCGCAGGAGGAAAACCGTAGGGGTGTGAACTCCTAATCTGAGTGCCAGGTGAGTGAGAGAGATAAATGGCACACACCAGCACTGCAGCATGAGGCATCCCACTGACATACTAAGCAGAGATTTAAGCATCTCGAAAGGAGCTTTCAGGTGTTTTAGGGAAGTCCAACGATGCTTAATACTGCAGGGATAGCAAAATAGGCCCGAGAAAAATGACCTCTAACTACTGTGAGTGAAAATGAAGGTGTTACAGCTTCAAGTGTGTCATACACAGTGTATGTGTGATGTTGGAATGACTTCATTCTAGCAATAGGTATTAAGTTATGAAATTGGTTTGTATTTTGTATCCTCCTGTTGGTTTGCATGTCTTGTTATTTTAAGCTGGTTCATCTCAGGCAGCTGTGACTGCAAAAGACAGTATATATATATTATATGTAGTATATATAGTATATATATAATATATATATTTGTACTCTGGGAGTGTATGACCAAGCTGAGACACAGTTGCCAGTGTTAAGACTGGAGAACTTAGGGCCTTGGACACCAAACTAGGATTGCAGTTTTAAATGATGGCATGAGATAGATCGGATTAGTACATATTGTGGAGGGCAGGAATGAAAATGGTAAATACTTGGCACAGCAAAACAAAACCAGTGCAGTAAACAGAACCAGTTGGTATGTGCAGCTAAAAATAAGTGATTGCTTTCAGGAGATTAAGCGTAGGGATATTGTACATGGAATTCTGCATAGCAGAGAACTTAAAATGAAAGCACAACGGAATATAAAGACTTCTGAGCTCCCTGTTCCATTGTTTCGAAGGTAACCTTGGATTTCCCCCAGGCAGTAGTATCAAACTTTTCTTCATCTACAGAGACCAAGAATTCCTCCAGTTTTCTGCACCAATTGAGCTGCCTCAGTAATTGGGCCCCAGTCTAATTCACAACAGCAGCAGAAATTCTTTTCCCCACTGTGATCTATGACCCTTAGTACTGTCAAAAAAATGTTGCACCTCCTCTGCTTGCGTGACCTGCACAGTTATTACTTGGTGGCTTTGCCAAGGAAGAACTTTATGAATCTATAAACTTAGTTCAAGATTCACAGCTCGACAGGGTTTGGGGTGGTAGATTGCTCCCCTGTAGAGAAAAGGCCAGCTCCAAAGCCTGGACTCAAATCAAAGCTATTACAAAGCATCAGGAAGGTGTTCATCTCACAAGCCCTCAGAACCATTCATTTGAATTTCTTAGGAGAAATTGAGATGTATTTGGTTTTTAACTCTGTCATACAGCAGGAAATGAAATTACGCTCTTATTACACTCCTGTTGCCAGTATGAGCTGGGATTAATGTCTCCTGAAGTTTTTTATGATGTAGCAAAACAACTAGGCTCTGGAAAGGGGATTAAGTGGTTCTTTGGTATGCTGGATGAGTGAAATACCACTGATTGTCCCCCAGTTTTATGGCCCTTGGGGACTCCAGCTGACCAGCACACGCATCCCATTCCGTTGGTCCCTACCCGCAAGCAGGTAATATGCTCCAGTCTTTGCTTCATTCTGCAATGCAGCTGTAATTACCCAGATCTCAATTACTGCGCTCCCAGAACTCATCTGTGTCATCAGTAATAATTAATTGAAATCACAAGCTCTCCTGAACTTACTCGAGGCCTTTTGTGACATTTGGACGGGCAGATTCCTGGTACATCTCCCTGCGGAGTGCGATATGTGTCGAGAAACGCTGGACCCCTGCTCTGCAGGTCCCTCCTGGGTAGCTGCAGCACATCTTTAGAGGAGTGGGATCGATTCCAAGGCTGGATGCTCTCTCTGTGGCTTTTGACTCGATGTGAGGGACCCCCAGGAGCTTTTCATTTGAAAGTGAAGGGAAAAACATTGGAGCAGCAGCGTGCCAGGATGCTGCCGTACAGCTAGTGGCCTGCGTGTGAAATTAGCCCGGAGCCTTGCTCTAGACTGGCAGGCAGTTAATTACTTTTTGTTAGCAAGCTCAAGTATTCATTTGAAGGTGTAGAACTGTTTGTCTTTTTGCTGGCTTTGGCCTAATTACATATAACCCATGGACTTGAATCAAGTTGTTAATATTCATCTGGTGTTTGCAGAGCCTCTAAATGGAAGCACTCAGTGTGCTCTGACTTCACACGCAGCATCTTTCTTCTGCTGTTAGACTAGACAAAACTAATTCTCCATCCTAGAGGCCAGTCCTGCAGACCCCTGCCCACGAGAGTATTGTCACCAGGATCAGCAAGTTAATGCTGTCTGGTGTTTTCAGTCTTTGAAACCCCAGATATTTACCTGACCCTGTGTACCACCACGGCCAAACCGTTTCGAGACTTAGATAGAGGAGCAAAACCATTACATTTAAGTGAAAACCAAGACAAGCTTGCAATCTGCAGGTGACCCCTGGTCTGGATCAAGATATTACAGGGAATTTGCCGGCATTTACACAGGTGGGGTCTGGTTTCTGGGGTGTAGTTAACACACCAGTGCCCTGCATGACAGGTCAATAATTCTCTGCCCATTTCGTGCAAAGCACCGCAGCAAGGTTTGCTCTTGCTACATGACAGGAGCTGAAGTATCCAGATGGAACCACATAGGTTGCAGCCCCCTGCATTATCCCATCTTTTATTTAGGCCTGACAAGCTCAATTAGCATTATCTTGCGCTTCTGCATCAGGGGGACTTCAGCTAAAAAGGCAGAAGAGGAAAAGTGAAAGACAAAGGAAAAAATACTGAGGAAAAACTAAAAGGTTTTATCTTGGAAGAGCTTTCACCTGATGCTGAGCAACGGCAACAGCTATATTAAGAATCCCCTGAAACATGACTGTTTAGATGCCAGTGGTTCAGAGATTTCCTTTCCAACACACTGCAGTCCAGCAAATAAGTTGATGCTGATTTTATTACAGGTTAAATAGGAAACATACAACTCCATCCAATTAAACAGGAAGCTGTCTCATAACCTGGATGCTGTGCTGTGGCTCCTGGGCTGTGTTCCTATTCTCTGGTCCGACTCCTGCAGCTCAGACCCTGCTTTCAGAGTCAGCTTCATCTCCTGACTCAATGCTACCTGCATGGCTCAGGATTCACTTGGAGACTTGAGCGATCTCATACATTTATAATGGGTCCCTTTCTTCGGGCTCAAGGATATATTTAAATGACTGGGATGTTAACTAAGATTCTTCAGCAATTACTCAATTTTTGGCAGCTCAGCTCAGCTCAGGCACTGCATTAAGTGACTGTACAAGCAGGCTGATTTCCAGAGGTGTTGGGCACCTGCTTCTCCTGCTGGTGGGATGACCTTTAGAGACTCAATACAAGACACAGTCAAGCCTTGCTGAGGAAAGGCAGCTTATGACCAGCCAAAAATACTAAAGCATCTAGTACCTGCGTACATGTACACGGTTTCATTCCTTGACTATGGGAGTTTGGGAATGATCGTTTCATTCTTTTAGCTACTTGAGGAAGGGACATAAGGGCTGTGGACGTATGTGCACAACAAGGTTGTAAAGCATAAGGAGAGACAGTGAGGCAGAGCTTTGCTTCAGGGAAATGCCAGCAACACAGGAAAACAGCTCCCAGGGTCAGGGCAATCAGGATTTCACTGTGTTCCTACCCTCCTGGTCAGCTCCATGTGACCGGGTACTCTGGTGAGCATTCCTGTAGCACAGGAGTCAGCAGCAAAGACCATCAAATGTAGTTGGTGATTGTTCATAATCAGAACTCAGATCTGAAAGTTACAAATGGCCCTAAAGAACACACTAAATAAACTGTTAGACCTTTAAATACCTGTGTTGCAGTTGACATCATGTTTCCCAGCTGATGGCACAGCCTTATTATGGCACAGAGTGGATCCTGGGATCTGGAATCCACATGTGGATCCGAACTGGGATTTTTCTTCTTGGGAAGAATTCCTCTTGGAAACTAAAAAAGAAAAAAAAAAAGGATAAATAAATAAAGAGGGGTACAGAGAAATACCTGATTCTCCCCTGTATCTGGCTCCCACCAGTCCAGCAATGGATTTGAAGACAATTCTTCCTTCCTGCTCCAATCCCAGGCTGACCTGCTCTGCAGAAATAAAGGTAACGTTCTGGAAATAGCGCAGGTAGACATGAGGGGAAGTGCTTTTCTTTATGCCATAGAATTACATCAGCACTCTGGGTTACACCTCAGCCCACCAGTTCTCTATGGGCATGTGTGAATTACTTGATTTTGACCTGGCTGGAGGTAGTTAACATCACCAGCACAGATGCACCTTATCTCTCTGACCTTCAGCATGAAAAGAGGCTCTTATCAGGCAGTGATAAAGGAGAGGGAATGGATGGCAGGAAGAACAAAGCCTTAGTGATATCTTTTTCATTGTTTCTTCCCGCTGAGGCTTTTTCAGAGAGCTGTTTGTCTGCAGGACCTTCCTCCTGCTCTGATTTATTTGGCTATTAAAATAAAACCTGAACTTTGCTGGAAGATGACTGAAATAAAAAAGGTGTCAGTTCACATAATTTAACTGCACTAAAACCAGCACAATCCGGAGTTCGGTGTTTTCGCAAGTGTAATATTCCCTGGCCTTCTCATTAGCTATCTTTGTTTCTATCCAATATGCTGGTGGGAGATGAAAGGTAATTGATGTATATATATAACCTAAATACATTGTGGAATGTAGCGCAGTCAAGCTATAATAAAACTGTTAATTATGAGTATATTCTGCACATGGAAGATATAAATAGCAGAGATGCTAAAGCATGCATTTTCCAAGTACAAACAAACTGATTCCCCAGAGCTGGGAAAATCAGCCAGCTCACAGTATGGAGATCATCTTGGGAAGCTCACAGTGTGGAGATCATCTTGAGAAGTGATGGCCAGAGGAGCAGCTCATCAGGGAGGTCTGCCTCTGGTGTCCTCCAGAGTGAACGCCTGCGCTCTTGGCTCCACCTTCTGTATTCACAAGCCATTAGTGGCTTTCTTTTCTCCTGCAACCAGTGACCTGCACAATTCCCATGATTTCCAAGTCTCTTTGGCTAGGCTCCAAGGATGGAGTCCTTTATCCAACTCATTACACACTGCTGTTGCTGTGCTCTGTGTCTTGTTGACGCTGAACTGGCCATTCCCTTGATCTGTTTGAAGTGATGGACCTTGGACACTGCAAAATTAAGGCAGCTTTTCCTCCTTTTCCCTCTTACAGTGTGGTCTTTTATGGGCTTTGCCATGACTGGGATCTTTATCCAGCTTTCAGGGTTTTAAGGCTCAGTCCCATTGATGGCTTGTTTGAAACGTCTGCTGTGCGAAAGTTCTGATTTTGGTGTTCTTCTCCCTTGCGCTCTGTTTGATTCCCTCACCTAAGGGCCTTGCTGCCATCTGCCTGTACCAGATAAGGAGAGTGCTTTTCTGGAGTTAAGTCTTTACCTGTATCCTAGCACTGGTGTTTCTTTATGAGTATTTCTTCAGGACCTGCCTATGTTTCACATCCTTTTCCTTTCCTGTGCTGGAGCAGAAAGGGCCACAGGGAGCAGCTCTCCCTGCCCATGCCCATGCCCGTGCTGAGTGCTCACACATGGGCTTTGCTCTGCAGCTCTCCAGGCACCTTTTCCCTCTCATCTGAGTGCTCCTTCCCTTTGTATGTGCTGGTTTGAGTCTGCTGGGGGCTGGTTCTCTCCAGGCTTTGCCACTTGCCCCTCTTCAAAGCAGTGTGGGTCTGTCCCGGGGCCACCACAGCTCCCATGGTATGGAGGGCTGGTGAGGATTGCGTTTGCTTTACCCAGTCATTTTGTGCTAGGCAGCGCTTCCATCTCTTCTCTGGCTGCCTCATTCCCTCACTGTTCTAATTGCTTCTTCTACTGCTGGATTGTCCTCCTCTAGTAATTTTTCTTGTATCTGAGATTGATCCTATTAAGTTCTTATCCTTCAGTATGTCATCCCCGGCTGTGAAAGCAGAGTCATTTGTTGGCAGCTGCAGCTGAATTACCTGTGCATTAATTGCCTTTGTAGGTGCCTGATTTCTCTCACAGACTTTTTCTTTCTTTCTGTGACATATTTTTCTTCGGAAGCTATCAAACACCGTTTACCTCAAATAGGCTTTTGCTGCTCAAAGCTCTGAGCTCCTCATTAAACCCCCAGGCTCTGCCGACGTTACCACCAGTTTGCCCAACACATATTGCAAAATGAACAGCTATGAAACTGCACAAGAGTTGTCTGTGTCAGGTTCTGTAAAGCATAACTTTCCCCTGACCCCTTTTCTGCAATGCTTCCTATTCAGGACACAGCAGGGTATATTGTTTGTGCTAGCCTGCCCAAAAGCTGATGTATTTTCTGTGCTGTTTCTTGCTCTGGATTTAGCAGAGAGCAATAAAAAGGCATGTGAGATGGAAATACACTAAAGAGAGTTTAACGACTTCTCCATAGGCTGCAGATGAGATGTTGGTGTTCACCTGTTTAAGGTGAACTCTGTGTCTCCTTCTTCCTTCCTAGAGGAAAACACCACATCCTGGGCACTCCTGATCTCATGGGGCTGCTGCTGACACCTCCTGGGACAGCAGCAGGGAGCAATCCTGCTACTCCGGATGCAGAAATGCTTCTGCCAGCATTCCCAGCACAACTGGAAAGCTGCCTGTGCCTCCTTCCAAGGCACTCAGCCATGGCCAGACAGCCTGGTCCCAAGGGCATCGTCACAGCCATCTGTGTCTGCATCTGACAGGCAGCAGCCTGATTTCCAGCTTAGCCCACTGACTGTTGTATCATAAAACACAAGAAAAGCACACGCAGCCCTTTTTGTGCCAGCTAGAAAGATGCTGGGTATCTTTATTCTTTCCTAATGGGCACGGGGAGGATTTGCATCCCAGGAACACGCTTCTCAGTGCACCTCTGTGTAGAATCATAGAAGAGTTTGGGTGGGAAAGGACCTTAAGATCATCCAGTTCCAACCCCCTGCCATGGGCAGGGACACCTCACACTAAACCAGGGCACCCAAGGCTTCGTCCAACCTGGCCTTGTAGTCTAGGGGAACTTAAGTAACTGGTTATCGTGTTACTGTTTTGCAGTGGGTAGGTTTGAAGCTCTCAGGGTGCCTGGCTGCTGAGCATTACCATCACCTCAGCATCGTGTTTTAGCCGTGTCTTTGTACCACGGCATTAATTCAGAGCTAACCACAGCGTGCAACAGCAGAGCGCAGGGAGCTGCCACAATCCATTTCATAACCTGAACTCAGAACTACCCCAGTGCTTCCAGGGATGCTAACTCAGCAGTCATAAGATCGGGCTCCTGTGCCCCGCTTTGCCACAGGCTTCCCACAGGACAGCCCCGTGTTTCAGCTCCTGTGTGCTGGAAGTAGCAGCCTTTTCATCCATCAGCTTCCCAGCCACAGGGGAGCTGAAATAACACACAAAGAGGTTTGTGAAACTAGAGGCTGCGGCATTGGAAACCACCTCACGCAGAGGACTGGAACAGCCTGGGTCTGTGCTGGCTGGGTCAGTACCAGCTGAGAAACTGGCTGTTACTTGGCAAAGGATGATCGAAACCATATGGCCCAGCGAGGAGATGGTGATGGAAATCTTTCTAGCAAAGGTTTGACGAGATGTAAACAACAGATTTTCTACCCAGAGATGGAGATGAATGCTGGAATTACCCCGGACCATTAGTGTAGCAGGTAATGATATAAAATGTGGCACATCTGCAAATACACCACTTTGAGTGAATTAGAAAATCCTCACAACTGCTACAGTAAGATGGCTGCAGCGATCCCACAGGGAAATCTTTATGGGAGATTAATTCTCACTTCAAATGGCAGAGACTTGCAAGAGGATTCTGTGGCCGGTATGACACATCCACGCTGTGATAGTAAGTCACACATCCCTTTTGTTCTCACGGAGAAGCCGAGGGCTGGTTTCTGAGTTTGTGTTCTTTGAGCTTGCGGGCTTGGCCCCTCTTAAGAAGGGGAATGTTTTATAGCTGTAATGATGAGCAGTGCTTGAAAGTAAACGGTGATGAGAACAAGGGCAAGAGCAACAGAAGCTCAAAGAGAGGACAGTGAAATCCAGACTCGGTTTTAAATTCCTAGCAACAAGGTCACGCTCTCAGCATTAGTGGATGCGTGTCTTTAGCTTATCATGAGCGTTACCAAAGAGCTGCCACCCGAGAGCGCTGTACGGGACAGCGAGGAGCCCGTCCGTACCGCGCGGTGCTGGAAGCGCCTCGCCTCGCCACGGCCGGGCGCTGCAGGGCACATCCGTACCGCTGAGCGACCTGGGTCAGTGCCCGCGCCGCCTCCTGCCCTCGCTCAGGAACCCGCTCCTACTGAAGCCTCCCGGGTTGTGTCCGTGCGGGATGTCCGTGGGAGCGGGCTCCGACACCCACCTCCCGTGACCCACACTTAAATCAGCAGCCAGCGCAGCACCGCAGCAGGGCCCGGGCTGGCAGTGTTCAAGGCCAGGTTGGACACAGGGGCTTGGAGCAAGCTGCTCTAGTGGAAGGGGTCCCTGCCCACGGCAGGGGTTGGAGCTGGATGAGCTTTGAGGTCCCTCCAGCCCAAACCATCCTGTGATTCTATGAGATGCTCCAAAAACCTGGAGCACATCTGGCGGTCCCCGTGGCCATGTTCACAGCCAGCGCAGTGACTGAGATACAGGCTGTAGCTCAGGAGTGCTTCAACTCTGAATTGGGTATTGAATGACTGGTGAAGCACGGTATTCCTGGTACTCACCACAGGAGAGTTAGGAAAACTGTAGTTTTGTGTGTAGGTTTCAGTGCTTATAGCACTAAAGAGAGCTCTAACGAAGGAAATGGCTTCCTGGCACACACAGGCATTCTCAGTAAAACTGCAATGTCTCTTTGCTGTGTTTGCAACACAAAACTGCTGCCAGGAGCCCTCATCTGATTAGTTCAGGTCCTCAAAACATCAAGGTGAGTAATTGAGACAGGCTGGGCTTGTAAACCCTGGGGAGCTCACAGCAGCAGCAAACAGAAAAGGTACTTTGAGCTTTGTATGGAGAGCCTGTCTTTTCAGAGAGCTTGTGTTGCACTCACCAGTCGAGCACAAGATGAACTAAATACAGGCGGGGTTGAAGCCAGTGCCCACCAACCTCACCCACAGACACTGACATCAGCAGGGATTTGGTCAGAACAACCACAAAACTTCCCTAATGAAGAGCTCCCACTAAGTTCCACAGCACTGCCCTGCACCTGCCTTCAGTCCCTGGTCAAGCCCGTGTGGTCCCCTTCAGCTATTTAAAACTGTAGGGACAAAAAGAAACCATCGCACAGAAAAGAGTTTTAGCCCTTTTCTTCCATTCCCACTCATTTGCAGTCCCCGAGCTACAGCTCTGCCTTACCTTCCTCTGCAGACAGCATCCATATCCCCTGCTAAACTGCCTCTGCCCAGGACATGCCCTTTCATAAGGTGCTGAAGGGAATTGCTGCCAAGTCACCACACCTGATCCCACCCCACCTCCGCTGAGCCTTTGATGGGCCTTTGTAGAATGGCAGGGTGGATTTATAACCTTCTCCAAGCTGCCTTCTCCCTTCTGACTCCTCAACGGGACCTCGTTGAGTCCTGTTCACACTGGAGCAGATTCACACCTGCTTCTGTACTGACAAAGAACTGAACACATACACGTCTCTATCCAGAATAACAGCCTTTGCAGTCTCTTTCAGCTACTGCCATACCCCAGACTCTGCAGCTGCCCCAGACAGTGCTGTCAGTGCTGCCACGTGGGAAAGGTTCACTCACAGTAGGGCTGAGTAACTCAGTGCTGATCTCATGCAGGAAGAGACAAATGAAGAAGAGATGAGCAACGCTTGTTCTTTTATTTTCTTAGTGGCAGTTACTGCTGCAAACTGCATTTTTTACTACCCGGAGCTTCATTTCCACCAGCATCAGCTTCTAATGCTTCACAGTGATGCTGCAATTTCCTTGCTTAGGGGGACTGTTAATGTGTGAGGCAAGAAGGCGCATGGCACGCTGCTGCTCTGAGTCTACCCGTGGCTTGAAAACAGCCCTTGCACTAAGCTGGCAGGGGAACAGTAGTGTTCTAGGCTGATTCAGGCCATCTGCAGAGACTAATGTGCTCCTGGGCCACTGAGGCTCTCGGTTTAAACCCAGAGCTGCACATAACCTGAATACACCACTAAACCGGAGCTCAGCTGCACCTCACTGTCCAGATCTGAGCGCATTTCCCCATGCCAGAACACTGGAGCTCAGCCACTGAGCTGGTGTAGTGATTCTTTGGGCCTAATGTTCAGCCATATTTTACTCAAACTCCCTGTCCTGCACCTCAGTGCCTGTTTCTGAGGGCTGCAGCATCCCTCACTCAAGAGGGCTGCTTGTTCCAGCCTGGTTGAAGCTGTCCTTTCCTCCTACTTGTGCTGCTCCTTAGCTCAGATCACCACAGCTTTGGTTTAATCTCCTGTCAGGTACTGCTGCCAGACATGCTGAACAGCTGAAATGCCATAACCATCAGCTCAGCACTGTGCTCTGCAGTGGGAACAATTCACTAACTTCCCATTTAGATTCAGTGTCCTGTTGTTAGCTGTTGTCAGCACTGCCTGGCTTGAAGGCTTCAAACTCTTTCCTTCTTCTTCTGGCTAACATCAGGATTTCTGCAGAACCGGTGGTACTGTTTAACTCCAAATGAGCACAAAATCCATTCTGAATGATGCTGCAGCAGCTCTCTGAGTGCAGGCTGGAGGCAGAGAGCTCTGCCCTGATGGTGGAGGGAATATGGAGTGTGTTACTGAGCAGAAGAGCCTGTTGACTCCATGGAATACCTTGATTTGGGGGTCACCATTCTGCAGTCTGTGAGGGCAGTGTCTTGCACAGCCTTGGTATTCCTTTGGCAGTGACTGTATGGACCGTGTGTCTGCCTGTGCAGCTGTAAAGTGATGCTGTTGACTTTCCACCGTTACTTTGGGGGATGAAAACCACTAGAGCACGGCAAGCTAGCGTGGTGCTAACACAAGTGGAACAAAACAAACAGTAAAACGTCTTCTGGTTTGTGTACGGATAATGCGGAGGCAAGATGTAAAATACGGCACGCATAAAATGTGTCGCTTCCTTGTAAGAGCTGAATTCATGGATGCTATAAAACAGAAACAAAAAATCCCTACTGTGAAATATCTTTTCCTAGGGAAGAAAGCGAGAATTCATTGGATTTATGCATGAAAACCAAGGGTTTGTGCAATAAAAGTGCTAACAAAAAGCAAAGAAAGGTGTTTTCTTGCTTCTTGTATTGGCAAACTAATATGAGCACAGCCTCTGAGGACGAAGCTGGGCTTTAGCATCTGCAATTCCTTCTTCTGAATATTGCTGTCATCTCATTCCTCAGGGGTTGGTATTTTGACACTCTGGCTACATTTCACATTGATTTTAAGTACACCCCCAGCAAGGGAGATAGAAGAAGCGCTCCTGCTCTGCCTGAGCTGGAGAGCTCCCTTTATTGCTCACGTGCCACCTCCTCCGCCATGCAGAGCCTGCCTGAAGCTGTTGATAGTCTCCCTCCTTCTCCCACAGGACCATGCGGATATCGAGTGGAAGTTTGCCCGGACGAAGCTCTGGATGAGTTACTTTGATGAAGGTGCCACTCTGCCCCCTCCTTTTAACATCATCCCAAGTCCCAAGTCGGTCTGGTACCTCTGCAAGTGGCTTCACAATCACCTGTGCCCAGGCAACGACTCTGACAACGAACAGAAGAGGCACGAAAACCTCAAAACATTCACAGTAAGGAGCTGCGTGCGTTTACACTTCGCTTTTCCAGGGTGCTTGTGCACGTTCACATCACAAGGGCCCCTGCACTAGAAGGTTACTGGCTCATAACTTGCTAGGAGCCATCAGGAGCACTAAAGATGGGACTGAAGAGGTAACCTGTCTGTGCCTTTCCCTTTCCAGGAGCGGCATGCTGACAACCTGATCCAGAATCAACATTACCAGGTAAACTCTTGAGCACACAAAGGTCTTGTTTTTCCTTCCTGCTCATTTTCTGGAACCTCCATTCTTGCTTCTGCAATGTATTCTGCTAAGTGCAAGTCCCCTCAGAGGATTTTGCTTAGCACGGATTAAAACCTTTCCTCATTGGAGGTGGGATGACTGAGTAAATCACTCCTTGCCTTTCACCCCCTCTGAAGCAGTGGAAAACTTGCTGGGTATCAGCACAAGTCAAAGGTGACACCCTCAGGTCCGTCAGAGGGACCAGGCTGTCACAGCACCCTGATTAAATCTGTTTCTGCAGTGTTTTCACACACTCCTGAATTGTTCCTCTCCTGCTGTTTTTGTAAAGCATCCCAGTGCTTGGGATTTGTTTTGGACAGCTCCGGAAGGAGGAACGGTCCCTTTGTTGAGTTTTGCTGGGTTTGTTTCTTCTCAGCCTGCCTGTCATCAAATGCTCATTAAAGTCAAGCTACAAAAGGATGAAACTGTATTAAAAGCAGCTTCAGTACTTGCATTCAGTGTGGTGCATTATGCCAGCGTGCTGGAAGGGAAAATAGTGCTCTCCAGAATGTTAGGTGGTACCTTAGGGTTACTGACAAAAGCCATCAGGGATTTGTCTTACTTAAGACATCTGCTTTTTAAAGAGTATTTTTCTCTGAGGTTGGTGTTTGCTGTAATGAGTCACCTTGGACAACAGACATTTGGTTATTTCCTGACTTCACAGCACAGCTTATGGGTACCAACAGCAGGAGCTTTTACACAAACCTCCCAGTAAAACCTCAGTGCGGAGACTGTGTTGGTGTTGCTCAGACTTGTTATCCCTGTTTATGAAATGGGGGAAATGAAGGGAAGGTTTGGAGTAGTTTCTTGGGTACTGAGAGATCCACCTCTGTGTATGTTGCCAGCACAGATACATGTACAAGCCTGAAGCACCAGTCTGCTTATGTAAAGTGAGCAAAGAGGTTCATGAACACAGAGCAAGATGGATCTCATCCTGCCAAAAACCTGCACTGTAACAAACAGGCACACACAGCACATCCATGAGTTTGGTCACCTTAAGAACTGACATTAGACAGCTTGGGGACACTTAAGAACATCCAGATTTTCTTCTCAACAGCTTTTACACATACAAAATGGGTAGAAAGTGCCTGCTTGCTGTAGTTAACTCCTGAGCATTCAAGGTGGAAGGTACATAACCCTTTCATAGAATCATAGAATAATTAGGGTTGGAAAGGACCTTAAGATCATCCAGTTCCAACCCCCCTGCCATGGGCAGGGACACCTCACACTAAACCATGCCACCCAAGGCTCTGTCCAACCTGGCCTTGAACACTGCCAGGGATGGAGCATTCACAGCCTCCCTGGGCAACCCATTCCAGTGCCTCACCACCCTTACAGGAAAGAATTTCCTCCTTATATCCAATCTAAACTTCCCCTGTTTCAGTTTTAACCCGTTACCCCTTGTCCTGTCACTACAGTCCCTAATGAAGAGTCCCTCTCCAGCATCCCTATAGGCCCCCTTCAGATACTGGAAGCTGCTCTGAGGTCTCCATGCAGCTTCCCTTCTCCAGGCTGAACAGCCCCAACTTTCTCAGCCTGTCTTCATACAGGAGGTGCTCCAGCCCCGATCATCCTTGTGGCCTCCTCTGGACTTGTTCCAACAGCTCCATGTCCTTTTTGATGCTGAGGACACCAGAACTGCACACAATGCTCGAAGTGAGGTCTCACGAGAGCAGAGTAGAGGGGCAGGATCACCTCCTTTGACCTGCTGGTCACGCTCCTTTTGATGCAGCCCAGGATACGGTTGCTTTCTGGGCTGCGAGCGCACACTGAAGCCGGCTCATGTTCATTTTCTCATCAACCAACACCCCCAAGTCCTTCTCCGCAGGGCTGCTCTGAATCTCTTCTCTGCCCAGCCTGGAGCTGTGCCTGGGATTGCTCCGACCCAGGTGTAGGACCTTGCACTTGGCATGGTTAAACTCCATAAGGTTGGCATCAGCCCACCTCACAAGCGTGTCAAGGTCCCTCTGGATGGCATTCCTTCCCTCCAGCCTATCAACCGAACCACACAGCTTGGTGTCATTGGCAAACTTGTTGAGGGCACACTCAATCTTCTGTCCATGTCAGTGACAAAGGTGTTGAACAAGACCGGTCCCAACACCGATCCCTGAGGGACACCACTCGTTACTGGTCTCCATCCGGACACTGAGCCATTGACCACAACTCTGTGTGCAAAGAGACCTTTCCAAACCTTTCCAAAGTTTTGTTTTCTTTAAAAGAGGGAGTTCTCCTTCTAACGGAGGGTGATTTTCTTTCTAGTCAGCAGAGCTGGGACAGAGTTCTGTGGGTCAGAACTCGGGGAAGTGCAGCAAGAACAGAGTCTGAATCATTCATGTTGTTTCCTGTTCCAGGAGGTGATAAGAAACCTTGTGAAAAGATACGTTGCAGCAATGATAAGAACTTCCAAAACCAACGAAGGTTTAACTGAAGAGAACTTCAAGGTAATTCATTATTCCTTAATTCCTTAATTTGTTACACTCATTCAAGTAGCAGCTTGCAGAGCTCACACTTACTTGTTAGGATGATCTGCAGCCTCTGTGGGAATAGGACTGTTACTGGAGCTGGGATCTAGATGATGTGCATGTGGGGGTTTTGAGCAGAAAATATTACTTGAGTATCTTCTCATATGATCACCCCCCGATTTTTACTGTGTTCTGTAGACAAAAGCACTTGGAAATGGTAGGAATGAAGTATCTGATTTAACATCATGTTCCTAACCCTAACCCAGGCAGAGCCAAAGAATGAGTCTGGGTTAATGGATATGAAGACCACACACCAACATGTTAAAGTTGGGCCTATCACCTAAACAGGATTCCTGCCCCTGAGTTTCAGCAGTTTCCCCTCTTCTGGAACTCCCTTATTTGACCTTTATTTTTCTTGGAGGGGGTGGTGGTGTGGGCAGAGCAGGTTGGTCATTGGGGCTGGTCCCACAGCCCTGGGAGACAAAGACCTTGGGAGGTCTCCAATTCTTGGTATTGCCAATGCTTTTTGTTGTGTGTCACTGAGTAATGATGATGGACCTGGTGTTCTTGCAAGTGTGATTTGCTATCAGCCATCTGCGTAACTGAACAGCTCTCCCAAGGGACCATGATCGTTCTTCCGTGTCACAGATAACGCTGCTGAGTGTAACTCATTTCTGCTCTTGCCCTAGGAGTTAAAACAGGACATCTCGAGTTTTCGCTATGAAGTTCTTGACCTCTTAGGAAACAGGAAGCCCCAGAGGAGAAGTTACTCTACCAGCAGCACGGAGGTGTCCCAAAAGGATGAAACAAATGAGGATGGTGCTGGAGAAAAACCTAAAGCCAAGAGCGTGTCTTTCAATGTAGCCAACAAAAAAAAGGACTTCAATGTATCTGCTCTGATTAAAACTATGTCCGGGATTGATATGGTGGAAGAGAAGCCAAAAAGCAACGGGATCAGTAAGCGCTCCTTCGTCCGGAATGGAAATAGAGTGCAGAGACTTTCCAGCTCCAAGAAGGAGTCCTTTAAGAGACTGGGCCTGCTTTTCTCCAAGATGAATGGACACGTCCCTGAACCAAACTCAGAACCCATGTACACTATTTCAGACGGAATTATTCAGCCACACTACATGTGGAAAGACATTAAATATTCTCAGATTGATAAAGAGAAAGAAGAGAATTGTTCCAAAAGTGAAATTAACCTCAATGAGGTGGACTACAGTGGGAACACGAGACTTACAGGACAGAGCAAGGAGTGCCCTGTGGTTTGTACCAGCTCCCTTCACTGTGCTTCCAGTATTTGTTCCTCTAACTCCAAACTTATAGACTCATCAGAGGATGTGTTTGATTCATGGGGAGAGGCCTGTGACTTGTTTATAAACCAGTGGAAAGATGGGCAGGAGGATCACGTCACGACTCGGCTATAAGTAAAGCTATCTTAGCACTCCCTGGAGAACTTAGCCCCTTATTTGTAATGGTTTGCTCTCATCTGATTCAGCATGACCATTTCCTTTCTGTCCACAGGTGGGAAAGAAGCGTCAGACTCATGTTAGCCTATTTTATAGCCATCTGCAGGTTTTCCATTTGCTATTTTTACACTCACAAATACCAAACTAAAGGTTTCACCACTGATAAGGTCACTGTAACCCACAGGAATTCCTTCAGATGCAGTCTTGTCTCCAAACCCCACAGACTTCAGACACGCTGGGGGCCGAGGAAAGGATTCCTCCTGTGCTGTCACCATCGTCCCACCGCCACTGGGTTCTCACTGCTGCTATCCAGCCCGTTGGGTCTGCATCCTGCTTGGTTTTCCTCATCCACACAACCAGCTGGTGAGCAGTGGCTTAGCAGGAGGCTGAGAATCGTGTTTAAAATCTTCTTAGAAAGGGTTTCAATTTACAACTGGGCTTTTTTGTTTTCTTTAAGCAATATGGACCTCCGAGTCTTTCGGTTGTGTGTGGGTTTCAGGTTGTTTGTTATATTAATACTGTAAATGGTTACTGAATAAGAGACCCCTTTGATCATCCACTAGAACATGGTATGATTTGCTCATTTACCCAATTCCCATGACAGATTCCCCCTGTAGGGAGCAGAATGACCTGCCAGTTAGGGCCTTGCTGCCAACTTCTGCATAGGTGAACTGCCCCGAAACCCAAACCTCAGTGTGGTTCTCACATTGAGCCAAACCCAGCGCTCAGCTGCATCTGCCTCTTGAAATTCCCAATCTCATTCCACTGCTGCATTTACTTTTTGCTGCCTCTCTGATGGATGGAAGGCTTTAGGAAGGAAACCATCCTCCTGGATGGCAAGTGCTAAGAGAGAGCATCTTCCCTGGGCCCGTGAGCTGCATTTTTGACAAGCAACCTAAGCAATAGAGGCTCAAACTGCATCTGGCAGCCTGGAAAGTCTCTGCAGTTCCTTTGCTAAGGTGCAGCAAAAAGGAGTGCAGCGGTAGAGGTTATCTTTTCTTTCCCTAACCACAGTAGTGTCAGCACAGGACCTTGCACTGTCACTGCTTTTGTCCTAAGGAGCATCAGCGTGGGGAGAAGACAACCCCATCAAGGGCAAAATGGTTCATTTTTTAACAGTGATTTCAGTTTTAACCATGTGATACTTGAACTTTCTTGTGTGGTGTTGCTAAGAAACACAGAGATCAGCACTTGCCACCGCTCCAGAGCCGGTACTAAGTCAGCTGCTTGCTTGGAGGAAGCAAGTCCCAAGCTCAGAACTGTCCTTCCCATAGGACAGAGCCTTGTTACAGCGCTCGTGCTGCCACGCTTCAGGCTCGGTTCCCAGGAGAGGTTACAGGAGCTGGAGCATACCCCAGGGGTGGCCGCCAAAGCATCACCTCTTGTGTGACCTGGTTGTGAGCTGCACTTGGAAAAGCGTAATGCTGGGAAATCCACAGTGCCACTGGCGCTGCTCGGGTGCTACCACAGGGCAGGAGCAGCGCTCGTGGCAGCACGAGGGTCAGGAGGGGGATTTCTCACGACAGCCATTCCCCCCCAGCGAGCTGTTGGGACGCCTGCAGCTGGATGCTCTGCTGGGGCTTGAAACCTGCCTCTCCCTTTGGGCACCTAAAGGTTACAGCTGCATCGGGGTAAATGTGAACGCTGCAGCCCAGCTCCTCTAGCAGCATTGCGAGTGCCAGCACACGGGACCCGTGGGCAGGTTTCAGTACAGACCTCAGGGAGGAGACTGTGGCTCTAGGGCAGCTCTGGTGTCAAGGAAAATCAGCAACAAGGAGCAGAGACTCCAGAACGTTTCTGTACTCCTTGCTGGTGACACCACTCTTGTTACCAGCATGCAGTAGAAAGCCCCAGATATTTAAGCCTCTGTCTGCGTTAGTTAAGGCAGAGTGAAAAGCATTTTTGCATGGACAGATTTCAGGCTTTCATACCGACTGCAGGGTTAGAGCTGTCTGAGAGCTGCATCTCCTCTTCCTTGAGGAAAGGCTGAGCAAACTGGTCTGTGTGCTGCACAAGGAGACCTGTAGAATGTGCAGGTCAGAAGCAGCTTGCTGATCCCTCATCAAGGGATCCAGCAGCCCTGTCATTTGGGAGCTGCAGTCACACCGACTGCAGGCAGCTCCCAAAGCTGCTCACAATAAAAGCCCTGCAGTTTAATAAACCAAACTGAGCACATTTCTGAAAGAGGGACATGAGCAAGAGCTGCTACAGGGGGGTTGAATCAGTTTAAGCCTCACCCAACCCCACCACAGTTTGTGAACTCTACTTGACATGGGGCCAGCAAATCTTTTTGGTATTTCCTGTGCAAGGAGTAAGAATGATAACGATTCAAGTAGGGTTGTGCAGAGACATCCACTGAAGCTGGGACAGAAGCGGGGCTCCTGTCCTTGGACAGCAGAAAGGTATTTAAGCTTTCCCTGAGAACCGGTGGTGGTTGTAACGTGTCATTCACTCGCAGCGCTGCACTAACGGGTACGAATAAACTGAAACACAATTAACTCTGCAGTGGTGCCCCCCAACAATGACACAGGGCAGCACAAACCGCCTGAGTCACATTCCCATGCTGTGTCCCGAAAGGGCAGGGGCGGTCACAGCCTCGCTGGGATGGCGTGATGGATCCTGCAGCCTGCAGGGCCCTCCCAATAGCAGTGTTAAAGCGAGAGCTGCATCACGGCTGGGGCTCCCCCAGGCTTTGTTTCATCACCCAGATACTTCCTCTCTGAGCTGACTGCGGAACTCAAACACAAACCTTTGCTTTGCTGTGATTGATTCACGTGTCCAGGAGTTTGCAGAACTCAGATTGGTTCCCCCAAAAGGCAAAGTCCTGTTTGATTGCATCTATGCATCCCCTTTGGTAGCAATAGACTTTATAGCAGCTGGTGAATTATTGTTATTATTACACTAAAACAGGAGCTTCAGGGGAGGGAAATTAAAGCAGCCTGTGAAAAATAGGATGATAATTAAAAACCCAAGTAGGTTTTGCTCCACTTGCAGTCACAGTACTTGGGACTCACCAGCATTTACCCATTTTCTATTGCTCAACAAGGAAACACGTTTTAGTGCAAGTTCTCTTTCCTTCAGAGGAGCCGGTGAACTGCCCCTGTGCTGCCTCTGCAAGCAAGCAGGGTGGGAGCTGGTGGGATGCTTGGAGCTGCTCCCATGAGGAATTAAACTTCTCCTTGGCTTGGGTTCAGGATGCACAGCTGTGCTCCAGCTGGCACAGGCCTGGCCTTTCCTGGGCTTCAGGAATAATCCTTACACATATGCAAGGAATTGGGAGTAATAGAATCTTTACCACTTTTTCTTTAGGTTTCTTGCTCCTGAAGTTGCTTTGTTTCTCACCTGCCATCCCCGGTGTCATTTTCACCTGGCTCTTTAAAGCAGTACCACCCACAAGTGATCACCAAGTAAACGGTTAACAAACAACAGCCAGGGTTAAGAACATCACCTTAGAGCTGGGAGGTGTTTGTGCTCAGGTCAGAGGCTAAGGAAGCTGTTCAGGAACAAGGAATTAACTGACCCATCTCTGCAGATGATGTGGTAATGGCATTTGTATATTCACTGACTCACCGCTCTGTGTGTGTGGATACTCAAGTTTTGGCTGCGTGGTCCCTCCAGAGGAAGATGCACCATAGGGAGAGCACAGGGTTAGAGAACAGGACAGCTGAGGTCTAGTCCCAGCTTTGCCACCGATTCACCTGTGACCTTGGGCAAGTCACTTCACCTCTCTGATTGCCTCAGTTTCCCCATCTGTAAAATAGGGATAATAATACTTACCTACCTCGCAGGGGGGGTTAGTTCATTATTTATAAGCACTTTCAGATCCTCAAATTAAAGGCGCTATATACAGGAAGCAGTTCATATCCGTAGCAGTAGGATGTACTTTTATTTTCTTACAGTTCATTCAGGTTAGGATTTAACTGTATGTCCGTTATGAGAGTTTTCCACGTAGAAAACTGGCATGGTTTCCCCAGGAAGGGAAATTAGGGGACTTCTGCAGTAGACAGTGAGCAGGAGGAGCATACCCTGGAAGCCTAAACTCTTTAACACCCTTGCTTTTGTGATTTATGTCTCACCCTTCAGTCACGTCACTGTGTTTGTGTTTCATCCTTTTTCTGATGGTACATGTAACATAATTTTTAGCAGAAACAGCCACTGTATATATTAAAGAGTATTTAAATAAATATATTCATGTATAAATATTAAACTTTACCTTTTAAAGAGGTTAAGATCGGTTGATGCAACAGACTTCTAAGCATGGGGAGGTTCCACAGGCACTGATGTGCACGCATGTGCTAGGATACTTGTATAGGGCTATAGGGAAGTGTCACCACGTGTCATCACTTCCTTCGTGTTCATTTTTCACCCCCTCATTGGGAAGGGCTGGCCATGGGGTCTCACAGTGTGCTGGGTGTGCAGTGTGCTGGGGCACAGGAAGGGCTGGAGCGAAATCCCTGCTGCCTGCTCAGCGTGAGGAGGAGCGGGACAAGGCAGGTCCCAGGCACGCACCTCGGGCAGTGGTGTATCACCTATACAAGGGCTGCTGCAGGAACCTTTCCTGGACAGCAGGAGACTGTCTCCTGCATCCCTACAGGGGGGCCTTCACCCTGGTTTCTCTGTAGGTCCAATCTGGTTTCCTTCAGTGCTTTCTCAGGATAAAAGTCTTTGGTTTGAGTGACGGGAGCTCTAAGATTTGACTTGCACAGTAAGGGCGCTGCGAGCATCCTGAACTCCCTTTCCAGGAACACGAGCAGTTGCAGGGTGTCTGCATGGGTATTTGGACAGTTACTGGTAAGTGTAAGCATGGATCTGATTTACTGCTGGGTTTCCTAGCAGTTAGAAAACTACGTAAGCACCTGCTGCTGTCTCACTGTTAAGTGTATGTCCCACTTCCCTTGGGACTTCTCGGTTTTGCTTTGATATTTCTACCTTCTGTTTCAAAAGACCAAAATCCCAAAGAAAAGCGTATTTCAGTTACCCAGGAAGAGGTTCAGTTTTGGTTTCATGTCTGGCCGAGTTCTCCTTTAACCAGGTAACTTCTCCTGTGGGGTGCTAACACTGTCCCACAGACCCGGCTATGAGAAAGTTCTGTGCAGCCTCAAAGGCTCATTTCCAAAGAAACAGGATCACTCGCCCACCTCTCTTGTAATCACACAAACAGAAATGGCAAAAAATAAGCAAAAGCATCCAAACCACATGGGCTGCCTGGAATTAATGGAAGTTGTTACTCAACTAGCAGCTCTATGGGGCTGGTTTTGGGGCGGAGGCACTGTGGGACCTCCCGAGTGCTGCAGCACAGCCGGTTGCAGCCTGCCTGGGTGTGCTGGAAGCATCACTGACTCCTATTTGTGTAACGGGAGAATTGGTGAGACCACAGTGAATAATAACTCAGCTCACGGGAGGAGCATCTAAAATAAACTGTTACCAGAATAAGCTGCAGTTTGCAGTGAATGTGTAACTCAAAACCTAACAAGTCAATCCCTTACTGGGGTTTTTGGAGGAGGAGGAGGAAGCAGGGAGCACTCTGGGGTAGCCACATCAGTTCTACCCATCTATAATTGGATT